ATCTTGCTTTCACTTGCACACATTGAGGTTGTGGATGGTACTCGTTGTATTCGAGAGGAACTGTTGAATGACACTTCACAACATACTTGTGGTTTTTGGTGTATATGCTGCTATAAAGTTAATATTCTGGTCTGACGCATTCATTTCTCATTTTGTCTTTGCAGACATAGATTTTGAGCTTCTTGTTTTAGAGAATGCATGCCTGGAAGGCCACATATCGCAGAGAAGCAGTTTGCGTTATGTAAAAACAGTCGTCGAACATTTTGACGAGCGACAGCATGAAGACTTCCGCAAGTCATGCTTTGGGTTCTTGTCAGAGGTTTCAGATCTCCAGTTTTCTACCCACTTGATCCAACAGCTCGCATTCTATTACATACAAACAGATAAGCAGCACGAACTATGGTTCAACTTGCAAGGCCACCTCGCCAGATTCTGCATCCAAGAATATGCCCTCGTGACGGGATTAAAGTGTGGTCTTCTCCCGGATGACAAGGTCATGGAACGAGTTCTTGATAAGAGGAGACTAAAGGACAAATTCTTTAAACATGTGGACAAGATTTCATGCGTCCAACTAGAGCGGACATTTCTTCGATAGTCAACGCCCCGAGCCGATCGGTACAAGCTCGGCCTCGCCTTAATCATTGAAGGAGTCTTCAATGCTCCGAATAACAACGTTGTTATCGATATAGAGACGTTGTCGATCGTCGATGATTTGGACTTGTTCTTTTCGTATCCTTGGGGTAGAATCTCGTATGGACGTTTGATAAGGGACTTTCGAGGCCGTTGGGCAAGGAAATTTTTGGATGCGACGGAAAAGAAGGAGAAGGTGGTTAGCTATACGGTCCACGGCTTTCCTATTGTTGTGCAAGTACCTTTATTTGACGTATTCATTATTTCAATACAAATTTATGTAGTGTTTTGTTTCGTCATGAACTTACATTCCTTTTCTGCTCTAACAGATATAAGCATTCGAGGCGGTGCCCGAAATTGGTGATCGATTCAGTCGACGTCTTGGTGAACGTTTCCCACGGCTTCTCGACTGGACATCAACAAAGCAACCATAGCAGCGTACATATGATGCTTTCTTCAAGAATATATAGGTAAAATTTTATGTTAGTTCTACGTTCTCATTCGTTTCATTCGTCATTGTAGCATCTGGTCAATTCCTAACGAATACATGTATATTGCAGCTACATGTGTATGCGACACTGCGTCCCATCGAAGCCGAGCGTTGACAACCTTATATCATCACTCTTGTGGCATTCGATGATTATCCTATCCCTACGTTGGACGACCTTGCCAAGGAGAGTGTTGCTCCACAATTCCACGCAGAGCGTGTACGCACACTTGAAGAAACCACCTCTGAGGATGAGACTTCTGATGAGGCCCATGAGGGTAGTGGGACCAGTGGCGAGGAGGAGGAGTCAGGAGCCAATGACAGCGAAGAGGCCGAAGGTGAGGACTCGAAGGACCACGACAGTGGGGATAGTGATGGTGACCGAGTTCGACGAAGTGGGCAGACGGGGACATTTTCCACCCCTTACGTACATAGAGCTACTTCTCCCATGCATGCACCGTCCACCTTTTATGCCCGACCAACTGCAATAGTCGGATCAAGCCTCACGATAGACGATGTTCAGGGCATGTTGTTGGATCAAAGAATTCTCATAGAAATGTGGCTCCGCACCGTGAAGCTCGAAATAATGCAGCACATGTCCGATGAAATTAAAAAATTGAAGGACTTCATATCCATCGTCGTCCCCACATCCTGCTCAAAATGTACTGCACGTGCGGTTGATGTGGACCTCGAGCCTAGACAATTAGGTACTTCACCATATGCGTACTACATCGCTTTATGACAATGTTCAGTTTAACCCTGCACACATTAACATGTTTTGTATGAAAATTTTGTATTCATTGCAGACTACGGAGGCTTTGCAGACTATGCAGGCCACCACTCATCACCTGACGGTCCTGACAAAGACATGGTGATTGACAGGCAAGAGGGAGACGATATGTGCATTACTAAGGAACACAAGGAGCCATGCTCGGAACGAAAGTCTGCAAGGCACGTGTGTTATTTATGAGCAAATTGTTGAATTATTATTTCATGTGCTTCGCATGTTTTGAAAATTGGGAAAATTTATTTTCCACTCACTGTTGTTCGGAACAGACATAGCACAGATTCAGCCATGCCCAAACGATCACCCCGTCATAGTGCCCACTAGAACCAAAGAAGTGCAAGGTATTGCATCGTTTATCACGAATTGAAGAAATATTATTTCAAGCATCTGCTTACTTTGCAATTGCTCATTTGTTGTAGCCGAAGGGGGCCACTAGCCGTCACCTGGCGACCGTGACGAAGAGCAGGACATGCTGCCTACTGGAAACGAACATCTACAAAGTATCATTTATGAGGAAAACTTGGACATTGTTATTTCATATACTTGGCATATTTTGAAATTTCCCAGAAGTGGTACACTAAAAATGTTTCATCATTATTTTCGACAGACACAACAGACATTAAGCCATGCCCCAACAATGACCCCGTGCCAGTGCCCGCTGGAACCAATGAAGTGCAAGGTATTCCATCATTTATCGAGATCTAAATTTATCTTTCGTTCCATTTACTTATTTTGCAACTTTCCCACTTCCCACCACTGTAGCCCGAGCAAGAGGGGGAGTTACCACACCGAGACGGCGATCGGCATGACTATGACATCCGGCACCTGCTACCAGGACTCCGTACACAAGGGAGAACGCTAAGCGAAAAAGTAATTAACTGTGGATGAATTGCCGGATGTAGCATGATGATGGGGTTGAACTTGATTTTGCAATTTTTTTGACTTGATTTAAGTGGTGAAGGATGTATGTTAATCGCCTGGATACTTGTGGACTTTTAATTAGTTTCTGTAATTTACATATCACCCAGGCTAGTTGGCAGTGTGGTGACACTTTGACGCATTCCTCACATTTTGCAATTCTCGTGGTGAATGTCGTGGCACTGTTTACCTTTGCTGACATTGTTGTAGTGTTACAAACTGCATAAGTTATCCGGCTTTACTATGTTATGTGAATCGTACTTATGATACTTCGTGCCTTAATTCAATTTTTGTTGACACTTGTACATTATATTGAGCAAAAAGTTATATATGTGTACGTTTTACGAATATCCATTTAGGAGTAGATAGCGGGATTGAATGTCGTAGTGCCTTCGTAAACTATAGATTGGATTAAGTTAAGGACCCATTAAAACTGCCGAAGTCATGACTACCATGGTACAACTAATTCACAAATGAGTTCATGTATATTTCCTTGTCACTGGTATGTTCTTATGTGGGTTAAGATGATGAGCCTATTTTGTGAGAAACTATAATATTACAACTATAGTGCAACTAACAAACTGGCAAATGAGAAGTAATTTGTTGCAAGAAACTAGATAACATCAATTTTACACATCATTTAACTATTCAAGTCACTGCCGATGTCATAGTAATTATGGTACAATGGGGATAAATGTATACTTATTATATTCAACCATCACACCAATTGCTTTTCAAATTTAATTTGAGATTGGACTTGGTGGTTGGATAAATAATGAAGTAATTGCTTCCTCCTTTCAGGATAATTATAAATACCATGAGATAATTGTTGCCTACAAGTAATTTTGCAGTCAAGGTATTGTGCCACTTTGAACTTACCTGAAGAGCATCGTGACACTTTTAACGTAGTTGAACAGCATTGTGGTAAAAAATAGCTACTTCTATTTATTCTTCTTCATTTATTCTACATTTTACCAAACTCGAAGTTACACGATCTTTAGTGCAATGCACGTTTTTGTCAACTGTCGAGAATGAATAAAACATCTGTCGAGACCGACAGTTCAACTAGGCGGGCCGTTCAATTTTATAAGTTTCTTGCTTTTTCGAAAATTGGAAATGCTGGGATTGTCCAATACAACTGTCTTAGTTTAACATGTTATTGTAGATATTATAAGTTTATCATTTTTTGCAAGTAACAGTCCTTCCAATACAAGCAGACTTACATATTGAAGGCATCACAAGCATTGTCTATCAAAATACATTTCAGATGGTATTCCATATGTTGTGAGACTCTCGTTTTGAAACAGGTAGTTGATACGAGATAATGGGTTCATCCACCTCCAGCAACGGAACATTCAACTCCGATATGCAACCGTCGATACTCGGTTCATCCGCTGAATTTTCCATCGTTTTATTGTCAGACGATGAGGAGATAAGAGTTGAACACCATGGTGACGAGTTCGATGAAGTGTCAAGTGCAGAATCTAAGTCACTGAACAACGTTCTGGATCAAGTCTTCAAGGTCAGGGGTCCGGTCGAATCATTGTCCAACTCGGACGAGTAGGTGGCTCATGTTCCACCTTCAGAAGTAATTTTCATTAGCTCAGGCGTGTCTAATGGAGAAAGTGGGGGAGACGCTTAAATTGTCGAAAGTAATGCAAGTGTGTAATAAATGGATGACCCTTTTATAAGAAATTATGTATAGTATTTTGTGCTATGGATATTTTGGTCACGTCCTCTGCGTCTATGCAGAAACAACATGTCCATAATAGGCAACCGCAGTAGTGTAGGTTTGGAAGCCGCTATTGCTCCCGACTGTTGAGAATTACAGAGACCATCTGTCGGGAACGACATGTGAACTATCGGCACGTGATGTTGGTGTTTTGCTTGTTCACTATTGTCTCATGAAAATCAATTTTTCATTTCGACAAACTGTCAGTCGAAGCTAATGGAACTTCTATGATCGGCTAAGTTTATAGTAAGAAAAACGTATTCATCCCGATTGTGGTAATGGAACTGTAATGATCGGTAATTTGCTTGCGAAACAAAACGACCAAATTTGTATTGGCATATGATAATAATGACAGATTCAGAAAATAAGTTGAGAATGTACAATGCTTATTTAAATTACGTTTTGGGGGATTACATTCCACAACCACTTTTACACATCACGCTTGTTCAAGTGGCTTGTGATACAGTGGGGTTCGAACATATGGTCCGGTTATAACCAACTCTCCCACATCGAGTGCATCTTCTCAATTCGGTAGAGGACTCATATCTAGCTCGCTTACGTCGCATGGGTGGTCTACCTGGAGGACGACGTATAACCGATGGCAAAATAGGAGTACCTAGGATTTCATTTGGAACAACCCAGTCCACTTCCCGCGTAACGGGAGATATTACTTCCATATAGGCACCCCTCCAGTATTTCGATATATAGTACGAGGAGCATAGATCGTATAATGACTTACCACTCAGGGTAGTAACACGAGTTGCATGAGCACATGACATACGATTTAGTTGAAACTCACGACGGGTGTACGTGTTGTCGGAGAAGTCCACTATCTCCGTATCGTTAGATATTCCAACCTGGGTCAAGTTGTTTGTTAACTCATGGGCTCGAAACCTAGTACCAGCTTCAAATGTTGTCTGTAACTCGTTCTCCATCCTCGACGACAATATACTACTGTGTGAGGTTGCATTGGTTCGACATTCGTAAAACCACTTCTGCATTGTTTTACAAATGTGCTCAACCAAGCACGTGATTGGCAATGAACATGCATGTCTCAACATTGAATTCAATGATTCTACATTGTTGTTTATCATGATGTTGTACCGATCGCCCACGAATAGTGCTCGTGATCAGAATGAAAAGCCGACTTGCTCCAAATACCCGTAACATCTTTCACTGACCTTACGAATCTGTCCTATTAGTCATTTGAACTCTTCGACCCAATAAGTTGTAGCAGCTCGTTTGAACAGGAATATTGAACTTACGTTAAAGTGCCGCCAGAGTAGGTTCTTTTTCACAAGAGACATACAACAACCATGATGAGATAAATGAAATAAGTGAATAATAGCTCTTTCGATACTTCTTTTCATGTCCAAAGCAAATACAAGTTCATATGAGTCGTCTATAAGACCTTTCAAGTTAGACATAAACCACATTCGAGATCTGTTTGTTTCAAAATCCATGATCCCCCACGCTAAGGGATAAATCTGTTTGTTGACATTTTGGGCAGTTGCCACTAAAAGTGTACACTTGTATAGACCTTTCAAGTGACTAACGTCAACACAAACAATGGGCTTCAAGTACTGCTTGTAATCACGAATGCTTGCACCAAAAGTTAGGAAGAAGTAATGGAACATATTGCGCGAATCAAGTTCGATGTGGGTTACCGTCCCCGAATTATTCTCACCTATGACGTGACATTATGAAGATAGTTTCTGAAAACTGTCCTCTGGTGTCCCATGCTGCACGTGTAAAGTAGCCACCTTCCCCCTACGTGCCTTACTATAACTTATTTGGACATCAAGCTCACGTGCAATAGTACTCTTCGGATTATCCAATTTTTCCAAAATGTGCTCGACAATTACACAACTCGTCGTATGTTGATGCGCATTACCGCGAAAATCGACGGAACATGTGTGAACATTATTGAATTTACGAATCACAAAGATTGCAGACTGCTTCACAGTAGAAGCACGTAACATCCACTTGCAGCTGCTGTCGGCGCATACAACAATTAACATCTTCACGCTTGACCTACTCACCCGAAATTGGAACTTCTCTTTTAAAGCAAATGCACGAATTGCCGAGTACAACTCTTTGTTGCTAAGGAATATTTCCTTTTCGGAAAGATCGGATGTATTCACAGTTCTCATCAATTCATATCCGTCCAAACCGTTGGAATGTGACAAAGACTGCTCGTCGTTGACGTCAACAGAATTAGCATCCTCTAAACTAGGTGATGGGTTATCCAAGTTCTCATCTAATTGTGCAATCCCGTTATCATACTCATGTGTTTCAAGTGCATTATTATTTAAGACACTATGCATTCGATTCACCAAATCATGTTCCACGTTTTGCAGAACATCTACTACGGAAAATGAAGGATCTTGAAAATTTGCATCCCTTCCCATGTCAACACTGGGAGATCGGATTCCAAAACAGTAATGCATATAGCAGTTTTCTTATGCACTGATATGTACCAATTTAAGTCTTCATTGTCGCGTATTTCGGTCGGAGGTATATTCAAGTTAGGGACTTTGAACTTCAATTCAATTTGAGCACGAGGATCAACAATACCAAGTTTGTCCTTCAACCTTAACAAAAGTTTGGCTACGGTAATACTTGTTGGCACCAGAATGGAAGTAGTTTTGTCCCTTCTCCACTTCCATTCGTCATCCGAATGAACAAAATTTTTTCCATGCCACACGATGAATCTCAAATGATTACTCATACCTGAAATGTTGAAATCGCAATGGTAAGAATTCAGAATCAATATGTTGGCATTTAATAGCATGAAAATTGCACTACATAATACGTAAATCAGTACAATAGAAAAATACCAAATCAAGGGTTTCCATTGTTTTAAAGTGTCCGAATTGAAAGTAAAATTGTTTAACCTGACAGTTTGTAAATGTGAGGTTCGACATCTCAAACGCCTAACCCGATGGTTTGTAAATGTCGAAATCGACAGTTCAACTGTCGAGAATGTTGAGAAGCAGACGACAGTGGGTTTCTCAGGCTTCTTCAACACATCACATTAAGTATGGTCCTTATTATTCAGCTACTAAATGACAAAATGTAAATTACATCTGGGCCTAATCTTAAAGAGACCTTAATGGTGGTAATGGAAGAAATTACTCAAAACATTAATGGTAATAATGACATTTTGTGAAGGATTCCAAAACCAAACAAATAAATGCATAATACTTTTAAAAATTTCAAAAAAATATGCTCATGTTGCATTTAACATGTACAAATAAAAAGTTATAAAAGTAAAATATAAATAATTTGTTATTGCTAACTTCTCAAAATGGATGAAGAATGCAACACAAATGTCTTCTTGATCAATGAAGATGGAGAAAATGTAGGGTTTCTTGTTTATGTTACGTTTTAAAATTTCTTTGGTGATTTTTTATTACAAAAATCCATATTAATCAATAAAAAATACATTTCTCAATGTTTTCTACATAGAAATTAAAAGATCACATCAAGTCAATGTTTTTCCTTCAAATCAAGCATTTAATACTATTAGAAATGTGTCATTAAGGGTAATTTGGACTTTGCAGCACAAAAATGTGACATTTTTGCTCACAAAAAGTGAAAATAACAAATTTTTTGAACTTTCATTTTTTGTGACATTTTTGTAAATTCCCCAATTGTAAATTGTGGTTCATACTCATGTTTTAACGAGCTAATATAACACATCAAAGAGGCTCCAAGCTGTGGTATAGTCTTCGATAGGGTTTTCTGTGATTTGGGAAAAACGCATTGTTGGGAATGAATTGCTCTAAAATTGTGAAAAGATGCTATTTAGGGGATTGTGATTTTGGTTGTGTGACGAAAGGCGTGTTGGGGAGAGTGATAATTGCTATCGAAATTATTGATTGTATTATTTAGTTAGACTTTTACACTTTTATTTTTACTATAATTTTATAGTAAATATAGGAAAAATGTTAACACTAATAATTGAAATTTATTAAAATAATAGTTATGTGGCGTTATTTCCAATAGAAAATAAACATTTAGTGGATCTTAGTTGACAATACCATTTGGAGTTGAATTTTCAATGTGTATTTAGAATTTTAGGTAGTTTTTTTTTTTTTATTATTATTGAAAAAATTGCACCCCTTGTCACTTTTTGGCTTGCCATTTTTAAAAATGTCACTTTTAAATAATCTTTACAAAAATATCACTTTCAAATTTATTACCCTGTACACAATTTAAATCCCATATATGTATGTAATTAATATTGATTTGACAAGATGAAAAAGTTGTACAAAATATATATCTACATTTCTATCTCTCTCTCTTCTCTCTCTCTCTCTCTACCCCGCGCAAGCCTCCCTCTCGATTTTTCAAAATTCTTCTCAAAAATTTCTACAGTTTTAAAAATCGNTCTCTCTCTCTCTCTACCCCGCGCAAGCCTCCCTCTCGATTTTTCAAAATTCTTCTCAAAAATTTCTACAGTTTTAAAAATCGGTCCAACAAATGCAAATAAATCTTCATAAACCTCGATCTAAGGTAACTTACAATTTCGATTTCGATTAGTCCAAACTCTGATCAATTTTTGAAATTTTGTTTATAAATTGAGATTGAAATCTTCATTTGTTTGATATTTTGTTTGTTCTTTTTTTCTTCAATTAGGGCTTTATTGTGGATGGAAAATGGTGGTGATTTATATTGATAAAATACATGTATTCCTACTATTGCTCAGTTTTGTGGACCAATTCCTGACTTTTTTTGTTTGTGAGAAGAAAGGGCAAATAAGTGGGTTTATAAGAATTTAGTAGAATTATTTGTCCAATTTTATGAAAAGAAATGAATAGGAATTTTCATTAAGAAATGATAAAATGCCTTAATTAGGATAGAACTACTTCTATTTGCTTTCTATAGAAAAATGAGAAATATTAGTGCTCTTTGATCAATCTTGACTGTTATGGAACAATCTATCAAGATAAACTGTTGTTTTCGACTGTTATGTTCTGAAATTCTTGACAGTTAATACTTTTTATCGACAGTTTTGTTCATATGCCAAATTTGATTTAATTTTTCTTCTGTGTGTTATGAATTAAACGTACGACATTTCATCATCATCAGGCCTTTGTTATTTCTTTTTGTTATTGATGTTTGCAGGTGATTTTTGAATTTCATTTATCTTAAAAACAACACATATTTTGCAGCACAGTAATCTGAAGTACATTAAATTATACTTGAGAAATTCACGGGGAAATTTATCAAGAAATTTACAATAGACTGTAATCTTAAAAAAAATGAGACCTAATCAACTATTAAGGAAATATCTATAAAGATTGAATTCAAATTTAATAACGTAGTACTCTTTATTAATTTTTATCTGCTTAAAAATTTTTAAGCAATAAATTTAATACTCTTTTCCGACCAAATGAAATTTAGCCCCCCATTTGGCCCCCATTAGTTTTCATTTCACTACATTTCATTTTTCTTTCTCCTATTTTAAACCACACAATCTTCTATAAAATAATATTACACGTAAATCGAAAATTTTTGCTTCTTTTTCATCCACTTATTTTTCAAAAAAACATTATTCCACCCATTAATGTTACCACAAAATGGGGGCTATACGGGGGCTTAATAAATGTAACAATGAGGTGCTTTATTTACTTGATTCAATGACTTACTAACATCACAAAATTCGTTCTTTAGATTTTTTGAACCTGAGACGAGACATTTTTTCTTGATTATGGTCCATCCATAGTGTTACATTGAGCAGATGGGCGGTGATAGTACTTTTGTGTAATTTTATACTTCATATTACGCCTTGATTTATTTACCACGGGTAGAAGAATCGTGTCAATAATTCCTTTTCCAAACTTGAGCAATGTATCCAGCCCAACCTCTCTATTACTCAATTAGGAACATCATAGTGTGTTTGACTATATACTGTTGTACGAAGATGAGTCGGTTGATAAAGAGTACTTTTTGAACTTCCCACTATCCGACGTCATTGTAATTAGTTCCAACGATGATGGCGATGTTTAATGAAAGTGAACTCACTAATGTTAAAAGATGCTTGAAGTTGGCGAAGAATATTTTAGTTATCGTGTGTGTATGGTCAAATTATATTTTCTTTAATATGTCATCGTTATTAGTTCCTATTCAGTGCATCTAATTAGTTATTATTTTTCTTGAGGCTAGTCAAGTGTAGCAAAAACTAAGGATAAACTGTCAAAAAAATCAGAGCTCATATGTCGAGAACGACAGTTCATACGTATGTACTCTTTCATATGTATTGCTTTTGAAGTGCAGTGCAATTGTGTTTTGTCTCAAAAATAAACATGCAACGATAATATTATCCAAGTTAAAATTGAAAATGAACAATGTGTTGTCGTCATTATAATAGACAAAATACAATCAAAATCAGTAAAAGACAATCAACGTGACACATTTGTTGTTGAACAGTACTGGTACATGTCTTCCACCTAACGGCGCTATAAGTTTCCATAATCTACCTTCGCTGCAAAACAAAGGTGCTTGGAAATCGGCATCTCTTGTAGTATTAAATGTTAGATTATCAGTTTTTAAAAAACTAACACAAAAAGTCGTTTCCTTGTGAATGGATATGTACCAAATCAAGTCTTCATCTTTACGTATTTCGGCTGACGGTATATTCATGTTCGGGATTTTACAATTTAATATGATTTCAGTGCATGGATCAATGAATACGTAGTTTCTATAACAATTGTTCGACATGCTCGGATAGTAGGCCTAGGCGAGGGTTTGGTTTGGGTTGGTTGTTTTCGACTCCAACTCGAAACGAAAACTGTATTAGTTGATTTGAATGAATTTCAATCCAAACCAAGCTACTCTAACTTTTAAATCAAACCAATTCGGTTCGGTTCAGTTAGTCGATTTGTACTTTAATTCAAATTGATTTTTTTTTGAAAAAATTGTCCGAGTTTTAGACCCACTTAGATTACAAGAACGAAAATAATCAAATAATTTTATATTACAAAATTATTTACTAACAAATAAAATTAGGATACTATAGGGGGGTCAATAGAAAATTTAAAAAATTTATTATTTCTTATGTATGATTATGCACTCTGATTGCTTGCGTAGGGAAAAATGTTAAGTATAACATAATGAGTTCATGAAAAAAAATTCTAGCACTATTACTTACCGACAACATCATAGATTTATAAGATTAGGACTTATTTTTTATTTTATTTTTCTTAAATTAAAAAAAGGTAAACATGTAAGTGAGTTGGGTTGGTTAAGTTAACCAACGATTTAAGACTTTAGACCACAATTGAACCAATTCACCAGATTTTTGTTTAAAAGAAAATCAAATCAAACTAAAATCTATGTCAAACCGACCTGAGTCAGTTCGATTTGATTTGTTTGATCGGTTTTTCAAATTTTTTTTTTTTTTTTTTTTTTTTGCCCAGAACTATCTGGTAGAATGATATTACTTGGAACTATGATTGAAGTGATCTTATTTTCTCGTTGCTTCCATTTGTTCTCTACGTGGACAAATTGTCCCCATACGAGACGAATAATCTCAGATTAGTACTCACATGAAATTTTGAGATACCAATTACAACCATTTAGCACATTAATATATCAAACTTTAATAACATGCATGTGGCAACTATGAATAGATAGTATAAAACAATAGCAAATTGGTGAGACTGACAATCGAATTGTCTTTCTCGACATCTACAAATTGTTAAGACCAACATTTTAACTGTCGGACTAGACAGTAGGCAAATGATGAAAATCAGTCATTGGGTTTGATTGAACTGCAATCTTCATAGTATTAAATGTGTTTGTCAATACTCAACTATCAAATGACAAAATCTTCTCAAACAATTTACACAATGCTTAGTTAAATAGAGAATCCCAAGCAAGATGTTATGGAGGATATTGTCATTTTAAGAAATTTGTCTAAACAATCCAAATGAATGAATAAAAATTAGCAAATAAATATGAGCATGTTGTATTTAACAATTTCATAGTGACAAGTTATAAGATAAAAACTTTAAACAATTTATAAATACTAACCTTTAAAACTTGAAGATAAAAATTATTTCCTTACTTTGTTTACTTATAAAAACTAGTGTTTTTTTAGATAAATTATCCCTCACTACTTATCAAAATGTTATGAATTTTTTTCCTTGGTTAACAAATCTATTACACAATGTATATAACAATTACACATAGAATTTTCTTTACATATGTCAATTATCAAATCATCACAATAATTAACATTAAATGCACCCAGAAAGGTAATTGCAATGGTATCGTTGATATTTTGCACTCAAAATAAGACATTTCTTAGCACCTTTTCAAAAAGTAACAATTTTTTTTTTTTTTATAATTGATAATGTAGGGATAACTATGCAATTGTTTCTTCTTCTTCTTTTTTTTTTTTTTTGAAACACAAATGTTGATGCAAGTTTCCACATTTCATCAACTTTTTTTTTTATAAATAAAAGTTGTCGACCCTATCGAAAAATCTAAACAGAGGGTTGAGATTTGATTAGTCACTACACAAAGAGGCTCAACAATGGAAGTTTGTGGAAATTCAATATTGCAAACACGTGAAATTAATTAGCCATACACAATATCAACTTTCAATTATTAACTAGTCGATGCCACGTGCGTTGTACGATTATTGTATTTAATGTGTCTTTATTAGCGTTATGTAGATATTTTAATTTTCTTGGCATAATCCTAACATACTTATGAAGTTTGAATTAAATTTTTTAGCATGAATCTTCCCTGGCAATTAGTAAAAATTAGATTTAAAATTTTGGGAATATAAGTAAAAAATAATTTATAATTTTGCTATAGTAAAGATGGAATCTTAAA